ATTTAAATAAAAACCCCTTTCTTTCCATATATGTTTTACCGACTGTGATGATAAAAGTGACTTTTATCACCAATTGACGTCATGCGCGTCGATGTACAAAATTCGATTGCGAAGTGGGTTTATCTTGGAAGTCTTAGTCACAGAATAATAAACAATCAGAAGGGCCACTCTCAGATGCCGCCTTTGAAGTTTTTCAGCACGCGCGCTATGTTTTAGGAGGACACAAACATATGATTTGTGAGGTTATGCGATTGTTTACATTTATGTTTAATTATATTATATTTATGTTATTATATTTAAAACTGTTAATATAATTGTATAGTATGTCTATGATTGCCGTAAGTCAAATAAACCTGGTTTTTTTTCCATGCACACCACATAAATAACACTGGTTCCCTTTAAAATCCTCGTAAAACATGGCGGAACGTCTGCGCGAAGGAGATGCGCGTACTTAATTTTCCGTGGAGAGTGGGCATTCTGTTTGTTTATTATTCTGTGTCTTAGTATCATGCGATTAAAGTATGCCAATATATTTTGTCACTGATAACCTTACTTTTTTGACGTTTACCGCTCTAGAACTGTCATTTGTGTCAAATTACGTGACAACATACACATTGTGGTGAATTTACGCTTGGAGTTTACAACTGAATTAGTATGTTTTTGTATTGTTTTTGAAAGATTAGTATCGTTTTATCTTTGTAGTATGTTTTATTAATTTATTAGTAGTGATTGTGAGTGAAAAAAGAATATCAGTTTTAATTTTAAAGACATTTTCAAAACATTTCGATTTTTGAGAAGAAAATCATAATGGGTAAGGCTAAAGACGTCCCTGTGTCTAAAATGGTGGAAATAAAGACACTTTTATTGAATACAAAGCTTTCCCAACGTCAGATAGCTCAACAATGCCAAGTAGCGCAAGCAACAGTGAGCAATATCAAGAAAAAAATTGAAACCAACAAACCCCTGATTCCCCAGCGTGCCCAAAAATATGGTCGAAAGCGTGTCACTACACCCAGAGGCGAAAGAAAAATGAGGGATATATTCGTAAACAATAGAAAGAAGCCAAGAAGAATCCTCACGGGACTTATTCGTGAAGCTGGTATGCCAGTTTCTGACATGACAGTCCGCAGAAGGCTTACTGAGCAAGGTTTCAAATCATGTCACCCTGCCAAAAAACCAAAGTTGACCATCGTAATGATGAAAAAGAGACTGGAATAGGCCAAAGAACACCAAAATTGGACAATTGAGGATTGGAATAAGATAAATTACGTCACTACTAAAGTTTAAATCACTAGGACCACTGTTTTTATCCTAAAAAAAATATCTTATAGTTTTTTTTATTCACAGGTTTGTTTCTCCGATGAGTCTACAGTGGAGATACTCATGGAAAAGTCGGCCTTCGTCCGAAGGCGAGTGGGTGAAAAATATCATAAGGATTGCATAGTGGAGCGAGAAAAGCATCCTCTCAAGATTATGGTATGGTCTGTGATCAGCAGTAAGGGCACAGGGAGGCTGAACATTGTAAATGGAATGATGAATCAACATCAGTATATTGAAGTTCTGGAAAAAAAAACTCAAATCACAATAATAAATGTGAAGTAATAAATACCAGAATTATTTGTTTCTTAACTTTATTTAGGTATATAAAATGCTACATTTTGAAGAAGCTTCTGATATAATTTGCAGTTTTATATTTTAATTAAATTTTCCTCATTCGACTCTTCTTCGCTCTCAACTGAATCAACTTCGAGCTCGACTTTAGGAGGTACATAACTCTTTGAATTAAGGTTTTTCTTCTTCTTCATTGTGGGTATTTTGCCGGTATTACACAGCCACAGTAATCCTTTTAGCTTTTTTTCATCAATTGGTAATGGTGCATCATACAGTTTCGGTGGAAATTTGATAGTAGTGGAAGGCCGTCCTCTGCATTTTCGATTTAATTTTATGTCACAACCTCTAAAACCATAATCGAATTCGTATTTAAACATTATAGAATTTTGGTGTTCATGCGAAAATTTTATTTCTCGTAATTTGCTAACTTTCATTGATTTCTTTTCGTTGTCAAGTTTCCAATTCTGGGTATCAGTCAGTTTTTTAAAATTAAAAAAATTATCTTGGAACATTTCCGTAACATCATAAACTCTTCCTGTAGTTTTAGCCATTCTAATTAATGTAACCCACTGTTCTGGCACATATACAACCGATTGCCTTTTCTTTGCATTTTCGATAACAGCATGCTTTGACAAGGTCAAAGCAAGCTACACACAAGCTCTTATCATCTAGTGCAAGCTGTTTGTCTATGTCTTTTAAGTTTCTGATAACTTCTTTGTTTTTCACATGGGACTCATATTGTTCGAGCAATTTTGCTTTTTCAGCATCACTAGCCATATTAAAAACAGAACAAACAGTACACTGGTCTTTTTTGGTTTAAAGAACCCAATATTGAACTGTTCATTGAAAATATCGCTATACTGGCGTGACGTGGCAGCTGTAGTGATGTTATTTTTTTTCGCAATGCTCGTTGTACAATCGGTACATTTTCTGGATAGTTAGCCCTTCTTCAAGGTACATCTTTAACGTATTCTTACGGGTATAATGGGAAGGTACTACAGGAAACTGATTTATGTGATTTTTTTCGTTGTCTATAAGTTCTGGTGATAGTTTATGTGGTCTGTTAGTGTGCTTTCCACGTTTATCTTTCTCTAATGATCCACCATCTTTCAGTTTCCTTAATGCTGTAGTGATCCAAGTTTCTGAAACGTTAAGGGTTTCCAAAAACATAGTTTTGCAAACACGTTGTTTTTCATTGCGAATGTAGAAGTAATATTCTCGAGAGTAATTTCTTCGAGACCGTTGTTCTGCAGTAATAGTTACTTGTTTTTTGGTAACCTGTCTCACATGACGAGCAATAACACTTTCTCGTATGATCTTTTAACTTCCAAAATTCATTGAAAAAAAGGTCTCTATCTTCTTTAGCTATTTTGGTAGCACATTTTAGTCTACATGTGTTTGCGTATGGTGCACCCATCTGTCTTCCTTTAATTTGAATACCTTTTCGATTTTCATGTTCAAGTCCCAGGTTTAAACTTGTTTTAGATTTTTCATCCGCCCACTTACTAACGTCTCTAATTCTTTTCCTACTTACTCTCTCTATATTGCCTCTGCTTCTTCTCTTTCTATTTGTGATTGCTTCAGTTATATTCTTATTAGGTTCAATTATTACTTCAGGGATGTTTTTGCTTCTGTCGGAATGTAATCTGGGTCAGTATCAGAGTCTGTATGAAATGGTTCCTCATCGCTTTCCTTCTCAATTATTTCATTTTCATTCCTATTGGCTTCATTCTCTTCTAAGCTTACTAAAATTAAACAAAAATGAGGTAAATGCCTACGTAATATTTTTTCATGCGGAATTTAAACCAACCTGGTCACCAGGATCCTCATTCGCCTTTTTGTATTTGCTTTCTTCTACAATACTTTCAGCAATATGTTTACATTAAAAAATAAGTAGGTTTTTACTTTGCTGTTATTATTCTAAATAAAGTTTATTATAAATTTACCTTCAAAAGAACGATAAGAAATATCCGTTTCAGTGTTTATATACGCTTTCTCAGCTAATTCCAATATTAACTCACTTCTGGAACACATTATGGCAATTATAATAAAATTAAACTTTTGAACATAACCTTAAGCATAATACCGTAGTTAACTCATGTTACGATACCTATGCTATCGCCTCAGGTAACAACGAAGACTATTGTAACTCAAGATACGATGATTTTCTACGGTTGTTTTTCATAAATCGGAGATACTATAAAACTCTTACACGTAATATTGGTTGCATAACTACGTTTACTGAGATACGATTCTTTCCTGGGGAAGATATCATTATGTTTTATTGTTTTCCGCTCGTAACTCAAAAAGTGGAAAATTTGATTTACTACAGTCTTCGTTGGACCAGTCGAAATTTAGACGCACAAATCGCACAGAGGATTTACTAATTCATCGATACTTTGCCAGAGATTTAAAGAAATCTCTACATGAGATTCTACTACTCAAATCTAAAGGCCGATTTATAAACTTTACGTTGGCGTTGGCGCTGGCGTTCGCCGTTGACCTTGGCGCTAGCTATCATACACTGCATTTATAAACTTTCGGTTGGCGTTGGCGTTAAAGATCACATCTTAATTTCTTGCCTTACATTTTTGATTTGGTATTAATAATTTTTGCTTGAAAATTAATACAATGGAAAATGCTCGGCCTTTGATAGGTGCAGTGGCACTGATACTTTGTATTCGAGCAGCACTGTCGATACAAACTGAGGCCCATTAACCACAACAGAAAGACAAGAGGTAATTTTAATTATAATAAAAATATTAAAACTGGGATACCCAGCAGTTTTTTAAATACACCAGGATACAGTTTCCAGTATTTGAAAAATTACTGCAAATGCTAAAACCAAAAATAAATGTAAACTGTCGCTCTGATGGAATTTCTATTGAAGAGAGGCTTGTTATTATCTAAACTTTTCCACTTTATAAACACGTGGAAACAAAAACAAATAATTTTGTTTGATTTGTTTGACAAACTTTGTCACTTTTTCGATATTGCTATTGGCTGCGATGACAAAAATACAGTTTTATTCATCGAGTTAGATTCTAACTCGATGGTTTTATTTTATGTTCTGAGATCGTGACTAAAACCACAGAAGGGTTTGTGTATTCTGTGCTACAACGGCCAACGGCAAAAGATAAAGTTGGTTCATCTTGAACGAAACCGAACGCCAACGCCAACGGCGAACGATGTTTATAAATAAACATACGAGTTTTCCATTTGACCATGTTGTAACGCGAACGTCAGCGCCAACGCCAACGTAAAGTTTATAAATCAGCCTTTTAATACCTAAGTTGTTTGATACCTTAAAGTTAGACTTCTAGCAATACACTTCCAAAAAGAGAACAATTTTTTAGTTATGTCAACACACAAAAAAGAAGAATGTGCTAATCCAATCATCCAAAAACACAACAGATAAGGTTATGATTAGGTAAGGTCAATAAGTATAACTCAAATTCTGCGTAATTATATTTATTATGGATATTGGATAATTAATAGTTCTGTTTTTTTATATAAAAAAAGAGTTATATCAAATCAGATAAGGACTTTACACAAGGTAAGTTCATTATTTACATATTAATTTGTAAGAGTATGGATGATCAAAAATCGCGGTGGAAAATTAGTTAACAGGCGAAGTTATCTTTCATTCAAATCTCTACATTATATCAGTGTCTGGCTGTGGAATATTGTCTAACTAGAATGATAATTATCCCTTTTCAGTCCCCTGTTTTGTTAAGACTATATGAATAGTTTGTTCTATTTGACACATCATAAATGATGAAATAATATATATGTACACATTGAAACAAACTGTAATTGTTTTGGTTTTTGTTACAGTTTTGTATGATACTGCTGCTTTTACTAAGTTTTATTTGTAATTTAAGTGTAATTTATTGTAATTTTTAAATATAATTTGTATGTGTATGTATAAAGTGAAGTTTTCTTTAAGAAAGGTTAACTGTACTGTCATGCCTTTTAATCCATATTGAAAGGATCATTAATTCAGGATATTTTAACTGTTAATCGGTTAGTTGAAAAAATATTCCACAAATGGTAAGGTACAGTCCATGGGCTGCTATTAGAAAGCCACAAAAACGAAATTTATACAGAAAATGCAAATTTTACAGGAAGTAGAAGTAGGGGTAGGCCAAAACTCAGATGGAGGGATGGTGTAGATAAGGATGGTAGAAAAATAGGCACAGCAAACTGGCAACGGTTGGCAATGGATAGGACTGCCTGGCGCAAGAGACTTGGGAAGGTTGAGGCTCTTTTATAGGACTGTAGCACCTATGATGATGATGATGGTGTTGAAAATAATAACAGACTAGGATACCCAGAAGAACATAAAAGAAATATTGAAATTTCAGCGTCATCAAGTGCAGTGGAATTTGGACTATTTAAAAACGTACCAACATATATAAGGTGTGATGGATTTTATGTTACATATGGTTAAAAATAGTTTACAAAGATAGTTTCGATTCTCACCATATCAAAATTTGTTAGTCACTTAAATAGATATAAACCAAAGTCTTATATCACAATTTTCGTTAGATCTGTAATTCATAATAAGAGAAGCAAAGAAAAATTTCTATTAGACAAATATATTTCTATGCGAAACTTGGTTAAAAAAAGATATATAGTTTTCCTATTAGTAGTCATTTGAATATTTTTAGATAAGATAGTGATGATAAATGACTTAATGCGTGTGTCTATTTAAAGTAATATTAGAAAGAAATACTCGAATTAATGTATATTCTATACAAGGTAAGCCAAATTTGGAAATAGGTGCAAGAGAATGGATGAAGTTTTCTTAAAGTTCTTTGTGAAAGAAAAGCGCTTTTGGCAGGTGATTTTAATTGTCATCATATTGTGTGGGGTTTCGGAGGGAATGTTGTTGCAGGTAATAATTTTTCAAGACAAAGAAAATAACAATTTAGTAATTCTTAACACCGGAGAGGAAACTTTGATCCTTATCTCACACCAAATTTATAATTTAACAGTAGACATAACACTTTGCTCTAATGGAATTTCTAAACTTTGTAATTGGAGAGTTGAGAAAGTTTCTTTAGGGTCTAATCATTTACTTGTTATAATTATTTATATATTTAATGACATAAATGTAAATGAAATTGAAAAAAGTACACAAAAATATAACTTCAAAATTTCTGATACACTAGAATTAAATACAATAAATAGTGATACAATTTCTTACAAACAGTTTATTGAACAAATATATAATGCAGCTCATTTCTCTATTATATTGAAGAAAACAATTAAGTACCAACTCAATATTTAATAAGCATTAGTGAAACCAAGAGTGTACAAATATGATTAATTTAGGAAATGAAGCTCTTTTATGCTTAAAAAGAACTACAAACCTAACGAATTTTATAGAATTGAGTAAAATAGAAGCACAGCAAAAAAATTATAACACAAAGTAAACAAGTTTCATTTTAGTCCACTCGTCAGAGATTTGATCTCTAAAACGGAACGAACAAGAATTGACTGAAATTGAATTTTTATAACAATGTCAATTTTGAAAGCTGAAAAAGATACAACTACTCGTACGCTCGGGCTTCTTCCAAAACCCCCTCGTAGTGGAAAACGGAAAATATCGATTTACCAAGAATCACCAAGATTACCACACACAATTACCAAGAAAAAAATGTTTCAAACAAGAAATGTAGCTGAGATAATTTTAAACAAAATTGTTTATTGTGTAGGATCTCAGGAACAAAGCTTCAATCGATGGGTGATATTGAATGCCAGTAACGCGTGCGAAATCAATATTTTAAATAAAATTTGTATTAACTTGCCAGTAAAAATTTGATGTCATTTGATCGGAGTGTCTTATGGACAAAAATTAAAATCCGTTTTAGAGGTGAACAGTGCAGCAAATTTTTGCAATTTGCAGCAAAGGAAGTCAGTTGCTATAAAGCTGTTAAATAAATAAACAAATCGAATCGATTATCGAATCGAATATTGAATCGATTCTCGAATCTAATCGATTATTGAAAAGATTATCGAATCTAATCGATTATCTAATCAAATCAAATAGATTATCGAATCGATTATCAAATCTAATCGATTATCGAATCGATTATTGAGTGGATAATCGAATCGTTTATCGAGTCGATTATCGAATTAGAATTAATTACTGAATCGAATAAGATTATCGAATCGATTGTCATATCGAATCAATTATCGAATCTAATGGAATCGAAATACAATACAATAGAATACAAATTGAATCGATTATTGATTCGATTAACGAATCACATCGATTATCAAATCGAAATCGAAGCGATCATGGAATCGAATCGGAATCGAATCAAATCAAATATCGACTCGAATCGTTTATCGATCCTGATCGAATCGATTATCGAATCAAATCTATCGATTCGAATTGAATCGAATTGAATAGAAAAATAATAGAGTAAAATAAATTAAAGTAAACTAAAACCATCGCTCCTTGCTGAGACTATAAGATAGCTATGCTTCCTCTTCTCGGTCACCCTCAGAGTACCACATCCCGTTTTTAAATTATGTTTTTCTTTGTATTTATCTTGGTTTTTGTTTATATATTTTCTTCTTTGTTTCGTGATTTCCAGTATGTATTTAAGTCATCCAAGGTTTGAGGATTTCTTCTTTCTTTTGTAGAATTTCGTTCTGTCTCTTATTGGGACCGTGCAAGTTCGGAACAGTGACACCTGGTGTCGTAAATCAGCAAAATTTACTGCGCTTTCATGTTAGATCGAGGTTACCGGATAACTGTCAAGGACATAGCCCCAAAAAAGAATAAGAAGAAAAAGTAAGATTGAGGTTATGTCGGTATGTTATTAAAAGGTAAACGTTGTATGTAGTGTAAATACAAATAAATATATTATTAAATAACAGCATTACTGTTAATATGGATGCAATAATAAAAACTGGATTTGAGAAAGTAAATCACCAAATAACTTTTCAACCAAGCACTGAGTCAAATGGAAAAGCTTTAGTAGTGGCAAATGTCAAAAAAGAATGGAAGAATTATGCGGAAGAATTAAGAAAAATAAATTACCATAAATAATGCTAATGCATAAATTAGCAGGTTAAGCCTAGTGATGGTCAGAATCGATTACTTATGGGAATCGGTTACCGTGGAATCGAGTACAGTAAGGAATCGGATACTTTATTGAGTACCGAGTACTGTAGCTATCAGATTTTGAATTAATAGTGGGTTTGTCCATGATACTATGAATAACAAGATAGGATCTTCCCGTAGCTCAAAATCGGTCGGGTTCGCGCATGCGGTCATTGGAGACTAGAATTTGAATTCTTGTTAAAGTTAAATGAGATTTGTATGCATTCTGTAATGAAATTACTAGACGAAAATAAGTTAAGAGGTTTAATAAATACAATAATCGTACACATAAGGATATCTCCAAACTATTTATTAAAGATTATTTATTGATATATACAAAAACTGACATTTCGAACGCGCAAGTCTCCAATGACGTCACAAAAACATGCGCAATATCTTATCTTATAGTCATAGTATCATGGGTTTGTCAATTTTTAGGTATCTTTGATTTTTCAATTATTTGTGTGTGTAATGCGTGTTTTTTTTTGTTTTATAATAAATATAAGTTTTGAAAACAAATAAGATAGGTATCACAAAAATGGACCAAACGTTTTTCTAATAAAAGAGTGTTTAAATATAATATTTGGTATAAATAAAGTAATTATTTAGCTAATAAAAAATCTTTCAATATTCTACTATTGTCTAAAAAATAAAAAAACAGTTTAAATATTAAATGAACATTAAAAATAGAAATTAAGTATAAATAAAATAAAAAAAACATTCTAGAATATATTACAAAAAAAAAAAAAATAAAACAAAAACTACCTTAAGAATAAAAACTGTTTAAAAATGTAATTTTGTCCAAGTTTTTTGGTAATAGTCGGCTTCGACGATCGTTCGTTAATTGTCCTGCCTTCGAAAAGACTCTTTCAGATGGAAGCGAGGTCCCAGAAACAGATAAATTCCGAATGACCCGAACATTACTGTAATTTACAACCGTCTATATTCGGCAGGTACCCAGTACTCAGTACTCAATCGGTTTCCAGTTCGAGTACTCGAGTACATTTGATTCTGTAAGGAATCGGATACTACTCGATTCCAGTATTCGAATACTCCCATCTTTAGTTAAGCCCATGATATCATCATATTGGTTTGAACAATTAATTATTTCCCTGTAAACTTTGGACAGCGAATATATCTTAATACATCTTCAGAAAAACTTGAACTTGATGCATTGTTGTAAACTTCAAAAAAATAAAATTTAAACATTAAACTTGATTTTTGGGTTAAAATGAACTCTAAGTGAGTGTTATGAAACTAAAATTTACACTTAAAAGTGAACTTTTATTTATTATTTATTTCAAACTGACTTTAAAATCGGGCGCAAGAACAATGCATAATTTAGGTTATGTTACTTATGCTTTTTTATGATATAAATCCACTTTTCTCTTTGTAGTAATTTGTGCTTCGAAGTTGGAAACGAATAAAACTTAAATTGACAATTTTTTGTTGTATTTTTACAATTTATAACACAGTATTTCCTAAATCCCATTTTCTTCAGTGACAGAAGGTGTAAATAAACAAACGTATATGAAATATGACAATTGACATTATGAATTTATGAAATCTATGAAATTTGCAGTAAAAAATGCAAGATTTCTCCGCTACTCGCGCACGATCGTTTCTCGTATCACATCCAAGTACTTGCACGTCGCCAATAACAGAGTCTGTGATTTTGCTTCACATATTCACATTATCAATATTTTTCATTTCTAATGTTAATCTTTTCACTTCTTGATTTTTGCAAGTTGAAGTTTCAACACGTATTTTGTTATCTTGAGCAACTGAGTATTCGCCTCAGAACTTTTGCATTTTATTATCTTTTTTTATTCTTTTATTCATTTTTGAGGCAAGGAAGTTATGGTCAGATAGGACATCCGCTCCAGGGTAAGTCTTAACGCTTATAGTGGAATTTCTAGATCGTATATTGATTAGTCAGTGTAATTTCTAATGCAATTTTCTTCATTATCCTGTATAGACTTCAAGGTACATAGTATGTGGGGTGGTAACCTAAATCAAGTGGACATATTATATTGTAATATAATATAATATGTCCACTACCTTACTTACTAAATACCGGTAAATTGAAGAACCAAAAAGTTAATTGCAAATGTATGCCACGTATGTGGCATATGTGGCGCCCTCTATCAGCTACATCAAAGTATGCATCAAATTATAATTCCTGACATTTAATGTACCCCGTTGTCAATTTTTATACATATATATTTACAAACATGAAAGTTAAAGCAAAAATTAAACTTTTAAATTTCCTCTTTAACGCCCTGTATCTTTCTTAATATCAATATTTTATTAAAGCAATTTGGCTTAAATCGTACTATTTTAAAGTGTAGAATCTAGGGTTTCTTTTTGTACAATTACTTAAGGACCACCCTGTATAGATATTGATCACATTCGGGTGGCTTCTCCTCGCAGGGATTCATAGCAATCCTGGACTTTTGGCTTCTACATCCTTATGCTGTTGACCACACACAGATTCATCCGCCTTTGGGGCCAATTTCTTAAATCCAGGATAAAATATATCGGCAGTCACTCCACTTATGGCTTCACGTGACACAATGTGGCACGTGGAGCCATAAGTGAGAGTTGGGTGCCTTATGAGTACCAATTATCAAAAACTACCTTTCGTCTATTACGTTTGATGTGGTCGTTCCGATAAAAGGTGCCACCTCTGCCGGATGCATCGAGTAAAAAGACAAAAGAGGGAATCTAATCCTTATGAAAAGGAGACCAAAAAAGTGGCCTCTGATGGCGGACATATCCGGAAATGCGAATGCGCCAAATTTAAATTTTCTGACACTTATTAACAGTAGCTATATAATATTTTTCAGAATGTGTCTTAGACGAGAAAGTTTTAATTAATTATTAACGGTAATAGTCTAAAATGCGACACAATTGTTAAAAAACTTCAATATAAATAAGATTTCATGTGACATTTGGGACAAACAATAACATAACCCAACTTAATTTGATGTCAAACAAGGAGTGAGACTCTCTTTCCTTGTTTAATGTGGCCTCTAAAGATCGCACTTCCTATCTAACAATATTTTTGCCCCCACTACCTTTACATTCCCTCTATTGTCTTTTTGCTCGATGGCCGGATGCCTATGCTGTATACTTCAAACAACGTATGTAGTGAATAATGGAATTCATAAAAATATAAGTGTATTTAAAATATTATAAAAATATTTATTATATTTATATATAAAAATATTTTAAAAAGTGTAAAAAGGGATAATTTTACAAAATACAATGTGCATGTACAAGTAACATTGTTAATAAAAATCTTATTTAATGGCAAATAGACAACTGTTCGGGTTAATTTTTTAAATCAGGCATCTTGTATTGCTATAACAATTTACAAAATCATCAAAATTGCAAGCATGTATTTTCTGTTTTAGACGTACTTTGGCGATGCTAATATTAGAGTAGTGTTCCAAGATGTCGGGCAGTCTCGTAATGCAGAAACCCCCTGTCAGCTCTAAAAATGTTGTTGGTGAGTGATTATTTTCTTCTATACGATAGACTATTCAGGCAGTTTTATTTAGGAGTAAGGAAGAATCAGTTTAGTTCATAAGAATCAGTTTTCCTCAAAAATCCTGATAGTGGAGTGCCTGGAACTTTCAAAGCTGTAAAACCTCGGATTAGAGTTATAGTGAATGAATTCATATGATCGATGTGGGATATTGTTGTTAAAACTATAAATTGCAATGTTTACCCAAAATTTTTTTGTGCACTCTATTTTTTTTATTGTTTAAACAAAATATTATAAAAAATTAATGTTTGACCATATATTTTCACTTTGAACAGTGTTTTTTTATTTATATGTTAAATCTTATATGACTAGACATATAGGAAAATTTTTCAAAGATATCTGTGTATAAAAGTAGCAATAGGGATCTCGAACAGGTAGAAAAACGTGGAGAGGAGAGCGGAACGACAGCTGCTATGTACAATGGAATTTCTTGGCTAGTTTAGTCACAGTATAAAGAGGTTCCTCTTTATACTGTGGTTTATTCCTTATTGAGGAACCTCTTTATACAGTGGTTTAGTTGCAAGTAACACGTGTTCTGTGAATATTGTGCTTCTATAACAGTGAAAATTTGGTTTTTTAGTGAAAAATTCTTATATATTTTTGTACTGGAAGGTGTATTGAAGACGACATTTTTATATTGAACTATTACAAATTATTTCGTATTGCTTAATTTGGTAAGTGATTAGATTGATAACTACAATTCATTATTGAATTAATTAAATAATAAATAAATCGAAAATTAAAGATCAGTTTCAATAAAAAAAATATATATGATAATAATGAATCAAATGCAATTAATTAGATATTAATTTTTTTTCAGATTTCGAACAATGAATGAACCAACGGCTAGCAGCATGGCTGATGAAAATAGCTGCATAATATGTATAGACCTGAGTTCATCTTCCGAAACAAATTCAAATTTAGGTGAAATTATTAAAATTAGTAGATGAGTAACATCTTTAAAAGTTGCTTCAACCGAACGACAAGATGGATTGTTACCTCACCTACAAACTGATTCTGTTTATGCTTATTCAAGTTGTCGACAAAAATATATTAATAAAAGTATATTGGTATGTATAAAAATAAGGTCCGTGAAAATCTCTCATTAAAGCCTCCGAGAAAAAAAACTTCGAAGTAGTATGAATGTCAATATCTTCAATTGGGAAAAAAACTGTTTTATTTGCGGACAAGAAGCTGATAAAACAAAAGAAGCAAAATTAAATAAAGCTCGGCGTGGCAGATTTCATACATCAACACTCCAACTTTCAAGGAATCTATCACGAATTTTATAGCCGTCCAGAAAACTGATTATTATCGAGATATCCATAAAAGGGTTTCTGGTATAACCGACTTACAGGCACTTGCAGCAAAATATCATTCGGATTGTTATAATTTGCTGAAAAAATTAATTCACCTCAGTAATGTTGAAAAGAAAATTAATCCGAGAATTTCGATGGTAGATGCAGCAATAGATGAAATATACAAGTACATAGAAGAGAATGATGATTGCCAATTTACCATGCAAGAGTTGAAAAACATCATCACTACAGAGCATATCCCGCATGAAAAAACTGACTCTTTAGAGTCTAAATTATACTCTTTCATTAAACTACACAAACCGGATCACCCAATAAGACCTGTAGTTTCTTTTTATACAGCTCCGTCATATAAACTTTCAAAAAAACTGTTAGAGTTTATTTTAGAACACACTAAATTTTCACCTAAATTTACCATAAAAAATACAATAGAACTAGTTAATAAAATACAACATTTTCAATTACCTAACAACTCCAGATTAATTTCATTTGACGTAAAAAATCTTTTTCCTAGTATCCCTCCTACAGAAACTTTTATTCTAGTAAAAAACCTTTTAGACCAAAATAGTACAAATCCAATAATTATATCTGAAATTTTACATCTTCTTGAAGTTTGCATAAACCAGGACTACTTTGAATTTAATAATAAAATATATACAAATAACAGTGCAGGACTTATAATGGGTAATCCTCTAAGCCCATTGCTATCAGATATTTTTATGGATCATCTAGAGACAAAGATTTCAAAACATCCCGTATTCAAACAGTTTTTATATCGGTGGAGATACGTAGACGACGTACTGGTATGTTTCACAGGAACTAACAGGCAACTCGACCAATTTTTATCGTATATTAATTCACTTCATAGTCATATTGAATTCACAATAGAAACGAAACAAAATCAATCCATAAATTTTTTAGATTTAAAAATTAGCAGACTTCAAAACAAACATGACTTCTCCATATTTCATAAACCTACCCATACTGACACAACTATACACAATTCATCATCACATCCAACACAACATAAACTGGCAGCTTATCAGAGTATGTTACATAGATTAACAGAAATTCCGATGTCAAAATACAACTTTGAGACAGAATTAAATATAATTAAGCAAATAGTAATAAACAACGGATACAACGAACAAACAATTAATAAAATGTTAAATCAAAAACTACACAAGAAAGCCCTGAAATTAGTATTTCCACCACCAGATAAAAAACCCAGTACCTTCTGCTCGATTACATATACAGGCAAAATAACAATAAAAATTGCCAAACACATAAAAAAGAAAGGAATAACACCAGCTTTCGGAACAAATAACAACCTAGGCAAATATATTAAAAATAACAAGAGCCAAAATTAAACACTTAAATAGTGGTGTGTACAAACTTCAATGTGGCGACTGCCCAAAAACTTACATCGGTCAAACTGGTAGAAACTTTAATAAACGAATAGCAGAACATAAAAGGGCTTTCAATAATAGAAAAACAGATTCGACATACGCACTTCACCTTCTAGATCATAATCATTCTTTTAATGACAAATTTAAAATTCTTCACATTCAAAATAAAGGCCTTAAGCTATCTTTGTTAGAATCTATGGAAATCAACAAATTAAAAAACACAGATATAATTCTGAATGACCAACTTGAGACAAACAGTTCTCCCCTCCTCAACCTATTTCATTAGAGACTATAAATTTGTAAACCCAAGCCAAAAATAGATCACTTGAGAAAGGCAATCAGCCGAAACAGCTGTAGTGATAATAGTTAAAATAAATTTTGTGGAAGTTTGAAAACAAAGTTTTCAGTGTTTTATTGTTACATATTTTATTTTATTTTGGTAAAGCGGTGACGTTTTTTTTTATTTTTATATTAAGTGTACTTACGTTTATCTTACCCAGTGACATATAAACAAATATATATTATACGTCATTGATCTTACCTTACAATTACAGTAACCTATATTTTTAACAATAAACATACATTAAACAATATTATTTTCTATTTCAGTTATCGATTTAGAAAGTAGGAGAGAAGAAATAAATCCAAAGCTTGCGAAAGTATTAAAAAAGTTGTTAGATCCAAAATTTAAACTATATAACAAAGATTATCTTAATCTATTGTTAACACACTTAACTAGTAAGGAACATGGTAAGCATTGTTTTTAGAGTTTGTGGATATTCTAAACGGCTATGACCTTGAAAATATCTGCGCATCGACCCGTTCAAAATTAATAAAATTTTTACGGTCGAAGCGTAAATTGGTACTTTGCGCATGCATGAGTCATATCCGTTTAGATAATTCTCTACCTTTACTTACTTATCTTTCTTTTGTTTACTTTGTAAAATAAATATGAGGAATTAAATAATCTATAATTGCTTCGTGGTTTATTCGAAAATGTTTTGAATTTTGGTGAGGTTTGTCCATTAGAATCACGTTCTAGTGCCTAATTATTTTCCTTTTTGTTGCAGAAAGTAAATTTACTCCACATCAGATAGAAACACACAAAAAATTCCTGATGATATGGCTAAAAGGTTACGTCGTACAGTGCGAAAGGCTTCAGGAACCGCCAAATGCTAGTCTCCTCACGTTTGTTTTAAATATTACCCGTTATCTCTGTGAATCAGAACAAATATTCGTACATCTCAACAGCGATGACATCTTCGAAAGATTGGTTAAGATAATAAAGAAAGTTTCTCAGCCTACAGTAACCGGAGCATTCATAAAACTGTTTGGTCACTTTGTAGAACACAAATCAGGTTTGCAGTGGATGATATCCACTAACCATTGGGAACTTTTAGTGGATATTATCTTAAATAATGAGACTGTTTTTGTCTATAAGGAAGGAAACAAATTCGTGGCCAAAATGTTGGAGAAATCCCACAGTTTCAATGTGCCATTCTGTAAAAACGTCATCCAGCACATTTTGGTGCCTTTAGATGAATGCTACAAAGCTATTGTTGATCATTCTTTTACTGAAAGTCAAGAGAGATGGTTGATTTCCACCTTAAGACTTATAAGTGAAATTTTGTATATTCTGTTAGGACCAGAAGCTGCATCCACAGATAGCGCTCTTATCGCGGTACTACTAGAAACCTTCCAACTGAATAAGAGGTTAAAAGAGATTCTTGCTGCCACGACTCATTCCGTAATTAAAGGTTGGGTCTACAGAACGGTAATTTATTTGAGTCTGTATGAACTAAAACTTAAATTTATTGGAAATCAACGAGCGGGATCCCATCAGAAAGCCGAAATATCTCCGGTAGTATTCAACGTACTGTACGAAGCTGCCAATGAAATATCTGTACCTTGCATGCTTCTTCTATTATTTACCACTCTGAATTGTTGGAATACAATTAAAGCAAGTTTACCAGGTTCTTTGCTTTCTAACCCTAAGGTGGTATCTTTCGAAGATCAGTTGTTAGCCATACAATTAATGCCTATGTACACGATTTTTGTTAAAACTATTGGATTTAATGTATATACCAGCGATTCCGAGGATAGTTTCAGATACACATTCATCTCAAAACTTGTCGATCGGATTTACCCTAAGACGATCAGGGTAAAATACAAATGGCAAAATTATTTGCTAGAACATTATTCAATCACGAATGGAATACTGGCGCTAAAGTATTTCATCCATTCAAAACAATTGTATTCCAAAGAAAATGCTATTTTAGCCTTTCAGATGATGATATATTTGATAGAGGATCTAAATACATGTTTGAAAGAGAAGCCTGAGCTGCAGTTACAGTTCATTAATGAACCAGATTATTTGGACCTACATTTGAAAGTTATCGCTATGATCATCGATGAGTTTCAAATGACATGGCAAGACACAGTCGAATCTTTATGTGTTTTGTACATTGTTTATCATCTGCTCAATGGACTGATATGGCCGACAAAGGTAAAACTGCATTCTTGTTAAACGATTTGTGTTATGAATATATTTATTTTAGATAGTGGTCACGGCGTTGAAATTGGCAGAGAAAGGAATCTCCAAATATATGACCTTCGATTTGGCACTTCTCATTGATGATACCGAGGATTCCATCATGCATGTACTTCCTGCATTGCTACGCGTCAAACTGCACGACGGGGCTTGGGAAGTCAGAGACAGTACCATTGAACTGCTCCAGTCACTTTTCATGACTGCCATCAATACAAGTAAGATATAAAGAATCTTTAAGTATCACACTCTAACATTCGTTTAATTCAAATATTCTCACAACGGTTATTGTATATTGTATTGTACTTCAGTTGCATTGGTAGTCATTATCATCATCACCATATTCATCATTATCATCTTTGGCTCGACAATCCTCTGTGGATCCTGGCCGGCTCTAAGATTCGTCGCCATTCTGTTCGGTGTCTGGCGACCTGCGGTTAGCTTTTTAGCAATCAGCTGTGTTTTAATGAACGCCACGTCTTGTTCATTAAAGAGTTGGTATATTTCGAAGTTCTTTTCGAAGATCTTTTGCGCCGCCAGTGTTCTTGGTCTTTTAAAGCACCAAATATTTTGTGGAGTAATTTATGCTCGAATATTCCCAAAAGTCTTTCATCCTTTTGCGTTAGAGTCCATGATTCTGCCGCATATGTGAGGACCGGCATCAGAAGTGTTTTGTATATAATAATTGTAATTCTTCTTGGTAATAATTTTAGTTATTTGGATGTTTCTTGAGGCCAATTGTGTCGCAAATTCCTCAGCAGGATGTAGTAGGATCTCGTTACCAATATTGAAAGAGGAAGTTATTAATAAGAAAATACCAGTATTAGTAAGTCAGTAACATATAGAGGATACATCATTTATGTTTTTTAAATAACGAAACATATAAAATCAGAATTTTGGTGTTTATTAAAGGTAAACTAAATGCACGAACAAATACTTACCATGTCGGGATAGTATTATGAGGTTTTTTTCCTGGTTTTTCCCTCATAATTTACTATGGAATCACTAACAGGAGAATTTTACTGTCATCATGTCATGTGTTTGTCTTTTTAAAGACGAATTACATGCTATGATTTTTTTCTGACGGATATTTTCAAGTTAAAGTTGATTTCATATAATCGAATTAACTATCTTATAAGTAAAGTCGTCCCAGGAGCGCAACTCAACAATATTGGCAATATCATTTTAAAGTCGTCTACTTTAAAATGCATAATGCATGTCTGAATTGTCAATATAAATGAGTCAGATAAAATTACATTAATAGAAGAATTTTTCACTATGTAACAAAAAACAAAACTTGTTTATTTACTGTTTGTATTTTGAGAACGATTTCCGAAGTGGAAATTGAAACGTCAATAAACGTATTTTTATCTTTAATTGTGGCTTATTCCCAGATAAATAGTAATTAATTTTATGTTGTACTTCTATGAACTTATATTATAATAATAAATATTATAGTAATAATATTAATATAATTTTAAGTTCAATATGTTGTGTTTTGAGGGGCATATTGGCATTAAAACACCACGCTTGCCGGACGAGTTGGTGAATGTTCGCATTATTACAGATGGTTAAATCAGTATTTAATTTTCATCTGCGACTTCGTGGTACCGCACTTGTCAGGAATTGTATTCCTCAGCCACGGACCACTAATGACACAGGTGCTGACCTGTGTCATGTCCTCGGTTGATCCGCGGGTATTTATTTGGCGAAGCCTTATTTATACCTGTCCTGCATATCTACAGGACGTTCCCTATCAGCCATTGGGACGTACCGTTTTGGGGTTAGGGACTTCCCCGCCCAGTCTGTCTTGCACAAAGTACTGAAGGACCCCTACTCAGTTCAGCGTCCCTCCTCTAAATAAGCTGAGACCAGCACGGTCTTCTTAATAATAAGTTCTTTAAAATTATGACTCTTTAATTTCTTTCCCTTCTTAGCTTTTGTAATGTTGTTTTTCTAGTTGTAGTTGTCGTTATATTTTATTTCTTCTTCGTTCGTTTACGTGTTTTCCTTTTTCACATCTTACAATCTTTTCTTGTATTCTTTTCTCTTTCTTTTAAAGTTGAGGTTCTTGCAGGTTTAATTAAAAATAGTATGCAAAATAGTTGCATTTAGTACTAATTCAAACATTTTCTCATTCCAGAATTTACTTCCTACAAAAAGCTACTTTTAGAAAATGATCTGCCTTGTTCAGTACTAAGGATGGCCACGGATGATGGAAATCCATTCGTCAGAGCTTCAGCTGTAAGATGTGTCCACAAAGCAATAGAAATTCCTGAGTTCTGGGAAGAATTAACAAATTCGTTCAATTTCTACGTAAGTACATATAATTAGTCTTGTTTTAGAAGAAAAAGTGATCACCGTGAATAACTGAACACACTAAAAATATTTATTTTGTTCTAGGACATTGTTTTAAGGATATTACAGTATGAAACTGAAGGAATCGTTCGCTGTGAAGCGGCCACGTTAGTAGATTGTATCTTTACGCACCAAAGCATACCCCAAGACTTAATGAATAGCTTCTATGACGTCATGAATCACGCCGTCGTAGCCGATCTTCATTGGGAAGTCAGAGTCAAAGCATTAAAGTTTTGGAAGAACATCATTGATGAACATCTGACACAACAGGGCATGATAGACGGTTCATTTCCAAGCGTAACGTTCTCAAAAGAACTCAAAAAGATCGTGACTTTAAGCAACTTGGAAGTGGAAAAAAGACTAGTGCGTGTTTTGAATGAACTTTCTCAAGTTGGGTGTTTGTCGGTATTCTACGAGGCTCTCCAAGACGACTGTGATATTGAAGTTTCTAAAACTGCAACGAATACCATTAAAGAGTTTGTTGATTTGCTCAAAAATCATCAGGTTACTGTACAAAGTTTGCAAGTACACACTCCTGCACCTACCACGCCGGTATCACCGGTAACGGAAAAAGTGGTGTTTCCTCCAGTAGCGGCGCCTCAGATCGAAGTGGATGACTTTATCATGCCAACTGCTCCCTCTACTCCTCAATATGTCCCGATTTCAGATTCCATCTTGGAAGATATCCTGGATACCCGAGACCTTAACTTGTTGGAGACTGTGTTTAATAAATTGGATGAACCCAGTTTTAAAAACATTGATATCAAAAAACGGCAAGCTCTAAAGCCGGAGTTGTTCTTGAACTTGGTTTATACTGATCTCGAACGTCGTCTGGTAGAGAAAAGCCAGTGGAGAGAACAAACAGACAGCTTCCAATCGCTTCTGGATGATATTTTAAAAGAATATGACAATGTCGATGTGAACAATATGGATTGCTATTAAGTGATTTATGGCTTGAAGGCTCATTGATAAGGTCTAATTAAAAATTTTCCTGTTATTAGTCATAATTTGTGTAAAGTTAAATATGTAAAAACAAAATTAAAAATAAAGTTATAAAAAAAATACATACGGATAAGCCATAACTGAAACACTAGCGCCTATAGAACTATGACTGAAACTAAGTTAATTTTGAACTAAGTGAAATAAGAATATAAGAAATCCTTCGAAATAGGTTAGACCAAAAGGTACTTTACTTTGTTCCACGAAAAGAAGCTGTCCAGTAACTCTCCAGTATTGTATTTATTAAGATTCTTTTGTTAGTTCTCTACCTGTTTAGTATTCTCTCAATTAATTCTAGACGTGTTAATTCGTTTATGTGTGATATTTGATGTCCTTATACATTAACTTCATACTACATCCTTATGTAATTTGTGCAAAATTATAGATCTGTAACAATAAAACACTGAAAACTTTGTTTTCAAACTTCCACAAAATTTATTTTAACTTTACACTACAAATTACTACAGCTGTTTCGGCTGATTGCCTTTCTCAAGATCATTTGACATTGTAATTTCTTCAACTTCTACAACTTTGAGACAGAATTAAATATAATTAAGCAAATAGCAGTAAACAACGGATATAACGTACAAACAATTAATAAAATGTTAAATCGAAAACTACACAAGAAAGCCCTGAAATTAGTATTTCCACCACCAGAGAAAAAACCCAGTACCTTCTGCTCGATTACATATACAGGCAAAATAACAACAAAAATAGTCAAACACATAAAAAAGAAAGGAATAACACCAGCTTTCCGAACAAATAACAACCTAGGCAAATATATTAAAAATAACAAGAGCCGAAATAAAAAACACTTAAATAGTGGTGTGTACAAACTTCAATGTGGCGACTGCCCAAAAACTTACATCGGTCAAACTGGTAGAAACTTTAATAAACGAATAGCAGAACATAAAAGGGCTTTCAATAATAGAAAAACAGATTCGATATACGCACTTCACCTTCTAGATCATAATCATTCTTTTAATGACCAATTTAAAATACTTCACATTCAAAATAAAGGCCTTAAGCTATCTTTGTTAGAATCTATGGAAATCAACAAATTAAAAAACACAGATATAATTCTGAATGACCAACTTGAGACAAACAGTTCTCCCCTCCTCAACCTATTTCATTAGAGACTATAAATTGTAAACTCATGCCAAAAATAGATCACTTGAGAAAGGCAATCAGCTGTAGTGATAAGTGTAAGATATCGAACTTAATAGTGAATTTCGGTTCGGTTCGTAATGCCCCTTTGTCCGGTTCTCGTCGATCGATGTTGATAGGGTTAATAAATGTTGAAGTTGTAGAGTAAAAGTGCTTATTTATTGACAGCAACTCGTAATTACACAATATGGTGTTCGTTCGGTAACTACTCAATATTGACTGTGTTCATTTGAACTCAAATCCCCAATTTATAATCTCACACATAATAGATACATAAGCAGCTTAGGTCATTGCTTCGTTCATTCACACCACCTAGCTTTTGCTTGTAATACAATTTAATCTACGCCTTAATTGCGACACTTACGAAGTTCAATTAGAAAATATTATTATTCGGCAATTTATTTAGTTGTAGGTAAATGAACTAATATTAAATTATCATACGATATGGTTTTGCAATATATATAATGCAAACTTATACACGGTGAAACTATAAAAGATTAAGAAGTTAAGAATAATGTGAGATTACAAATTAAGGGGTTAATTTGTGACTGAACATAAGAGTTAAAATAAATTTTGTGGAAGTTTGAAAACAAAGTTTTCAGTGTTTTATTGTTACATACAATGAATTTCCATCAAGTAACGGTTGAATCCATCAATTATAGATCTCTGTTTAATTTTGTTTTTGATCAGAGAATATATTGTTCTGAAGTTATTTTCTTTTTGGCGTTTTAATATAATTTGCTGTTTTGATTAGGAATTACACACTTTTTTTTTAAATATGTTTATTTTTACGTATCGATTTCCACTTGGTAATTATCCACAATTTTAGTTTAAAATTCTTATTTTAATGCAAAACTGTGGACAATTCTCAATAACAATAGTAAATTATAAATTAAAATGCTACAAGAAAATAGCTTCAGAGCAATATCAGGAGCTTGGAAGCGTAAAGGCGAACAGCAAAACACGTTTCTGCAAAACTGAGTGTAAAGTTTAAAAACATATTAGAATAGTAAGGGTGAACAAGTTTTATTTTATTAACAAAACCTAAAACAGGATAAGGTCTGAAGCTATCTATTTGTGGCAGGTTTGATAAATGTATAGTTTTATGGGATTTAGTCACAATTGGCTGTAATGATAATTACATTTTTTTAAAGAAAGAAAATGTTTTTTTAATAAATGTGGAAAATTTCGAATTTAGTATTGAAGTTCGTTTCGGTTCGTAAATGCCCCTTTGTCCGCTTCTCGTCGATTGATGATGATAGGGTTAATAAATGTTGAAGTTGTGGAGTAAAAGTGATGATTTATTGACAGCAACTCGTAATTACACAATATGGTGTTCGTTCGGTAACTACTCAATATTGACTGTGTTCATTTGAACTCAAATCCCCCAATTTATAATCTCACACATAATAGATACATAAGCACCTTATGTTATTGCTTCGTTCATATCACACCATCTAACTTTTGCGTATAATGCAATTTAATCTACGCCTTAATTGCGACACTTAGGAAGTTCAATTAGAAAATATTATTATTCGGCAATTTATTTAGTTGTAGGTAATTGAACTAATTATTAAATTATCATACGATATGGTTTTGCAATATATATAATGCAAACTTATACACGGTGAAACTATAAAAGATTAAGAAGTTAAGAATAATGTGAGATTACAAATTAAGGGGTTAATTTGTGATTGAACAAAATGTAATTATCATTACAACCAATTGTGGCTTAATCCCATAAAACTATACCGTTATTAAAAGAGTATTTTGCAAGATTTTTATAAAATGAAAGGAAAAGTGGTTTAATATTTTTTATTCTACAAAAATAAACAGTTTTGTTAACAAAGTATGTTTTAGCTAATAGCAGAAAATAATTTACAAAATTCACAAATATTACTTCAATTAAACTCAATTTGATTTTCATCGTCTACAGTTTCTTCGACTTCAGTGGTACTAATTCCTCCACTAATAGCTTATTGTAAAGAAGCATGCTTGTGAGGCATGGATACATAATCAAAAAGATTTTGTAAGTCTTTTTTCTTTTCTTCTGTAGGCTCGAGAGCACTCTGGTATTTAAGGGGAAGTTCTATAGTATCTAAGTTAAAATTTATTACATCGTGAAGTTTCTTTCGTCCCTTTTAGAGTATGATCTTTGTAGGAATATCCGTGTTATATGCGATTTGACTTTTAAAACCCATCTTAAAATCTCTTGAAAATTCGAATATTCTGCCATCCTTGAAGTTAGCTCCCAACATTTAAGATTTTAATGCTTTTTTTTGAAGAATACTGAAATCCTTAACCATTTCCCTCGTGACATTCTTCTTCTTCTTCAGATGCAAATCCACTAATGGATGTTAGCGATCACATTTTCCATTAATTCTCTATTTCTTGCAATATGTATCAGAGATTGTATGTCGTTAATCCCTGTCCATTGCCTTATGTTTCGGAGCCAGGACATCTTGCGTCCCATTCCTCTCTTGCCTTCAATTTTACCCTCGATTATAAGTTGGAGGAACTGGTATTTTTCATATCGCATGATGTGACCTAGATACGCCGTTTTCCTTTTCTTGATGGTTTCGAAAAGTTGGCGTTCTTGGTTTATTCTTTTAAGGACATCTATATTTGTGATTTGCGCTGTCCATGGTATTTTTTTGGATGCGGCGATAAAGCCACATTTCAAAAGCTTCTAATCTGTTTATATTACTCGTTTTGAGTGTCCAGCCCTCTACGCCATATAGCAGCACTGACCATACGTAGCACTTAGTAAACCTTAGTCTCAGTTGAAGATCGAACTCTGAACAAGTCAATACCTTCTTGAATTTTACGAAAGCTTGTCGAGCTTGCTCAATGCGACATTTTACTTCCCTGTCCGATGCCCAGTCTTCAAAAAGTCACGATCCCAGATGTTTAAATTTATTCACTCGTTCAGGACTTAGTATTCAGTGTTATGGTGGAGTTTTCAAGTGCATCCAAGTTTCTGGAGATGATCATGAATTTGGTCTTTTTGGTATTAATCTCTAATCCCATTCGCTTACTGTATTCTCCGATTATAGTGACAAGTTGTTGAAGATCGACTATGTTGTCACAAATTAAGACACCATCATCAGCATATCGTATGTTGTTGATCAATACTCCATTCACCTTGATTCCCATTTCTGCATCCTCCAAAGACTCTTGAAATATGGCTTCCGAATAAATGTTAAATAAAAGAGGGGAAAGCACGCATCTCTGTCGAACGCCTCTTCTTATATGTATGGGTTTGGATATAGAATTGTCTATTTTTAACTGTGCCGTTTGATGCCAGTACAAGTTTTCAATGCATCTTATGTCTTTTTGGTCTATATCAACTTTCTTGAGAATCTGCATTAACTTGTGGTGTTGGACACGATCAAACGCTTTTTGGTAATCTAAAAAGCATAGGAACACATCCTTCCTCTGATCGTAACAATTTTGGAACAGCACCTGTGTTGCTACTATTGCTTTTCGTGTTCCTAAACCTTGCCTAAACCCAAACTGGGAGTCACTGATGTCCCATTCACATTTTTTGTATAAACTTTGATGTAGTATTTTTAAGAATATCTTTAAAGTGTGACTCATCAGGCTAATGAGTCTGTGATCCTCACATATTTTTGCATTGACTTTCTTGGGCAGGGGAATAAAGGTAGAGCGTAACCACTGTTGAGGATAGCAGCCAGTTTCATAAATTAAATTAAATATTTTGTGTAGTGCTGAAATTCGCCTTTCATCTAGTAATTTGATTATTTCTGACGGGATCTCATCTGATCCAGGTGCCTTATTGTTTTTTAAATTTAATATTGCCTTTTCTATCTTCTCTTTGGTGATTGAAGGGCCAGTCAGCTGGTCGTCTGTATAAACTTCACTCATGGGTCTTTCGTCATGGAAGAGCTTCTGGATATAATTTTCCCATAAATCAATTTTCTCCTTTTCACCCAGCACTATCTGGTTATCCTGATTTACTGTAGTAGTTGGTCTTCGTTTTCTGTATATTCCAGCAGTCTCCTTAAGCTTCTCGTGACATTAACAACTTGGAATTTGTTCTTTTTTTAGTGTGTGTAATGAAATGGATATAGTGTTCTTTAGAAAATACCCCAAAGTCCTTGATCTTTAATTTAATTGAACCAAAATCTTGATCACATTCCATCATGGAATACCCTGACATTAAAAAAACGTGCTTAATAAGATTAAAGCGATTTATATG